TCTCCTCTTTTTTTCCCCCCTCTTTGCAGCTCTTTTTACAGGTAAATCACTCGTGGTATGGGAGAATCTCAGAGAGTTCAGAGGTTTGGGGCAGGAAACGCCTCCCCTCCCCCTGAAGTTTGGATTCAGAGCTAAATTTATCTGAATGCTGTCATTTCCCTGCTTTTCCCTCTCTACCTCCTTCATTACATTCCTCTTTCTCCCTCCCCATTCCCAGCCACCCAGATCTTATCCTTTCCTTGACCTGCAGCTCCCCCTCCCTAGCCTGCCACAGCTCTAAAATGTCCGGAGGCCTCGGCTGAAGGTGGCAGCTTCTCCTGGTGGGCTTTTTGGGGTTTTTTTTTTCATTCCTGAGCTGAACCATAGCGAGAAGTGCTCTGTAATCCCCTGCCCTCAGAGGCTGTGTCCATCAGAGATGCTAAAAGCAGGTTTGGTAGCTGCTACTAGGGGAAGGCAGCAGTGGTGCCCAGCAGAGCAGCCTGGCTGGCTCGTGCCTTGCTGGGTGTGAGCATCTGCCTGTGATGCAGCAAAGGGCCCCTGCAGGTACAAGCAACGTGATTGAGGCAAAAGAATTCAGAAATAGGTGTTGAAGTTCAACCAAATTTCCATGCTGCTCCTGCTTTTTCCTGACACATTGTGCATATTTGCATCACTTACCAGGATCTTGAACAGGTCCGTCCTGGTAGGAAATACACAGAGTTCAGCAAGAATCCCTCTCTTTTTCCTTTTCCTTTTTCCTTTTTTTTTTCCTTTTTTTTTCTTTCTTTAATATTATAGTCTTGCACTGTGGCTATTCTAGTTTTTCACAGAAGTGGCAGGCAGCCAAAGATTGGAGTCATTATTTGCAAACTCTAAAAATAGAGTCAAGATTTATAGGAAGAAAACAGATATGTCTTGTTATAAAACCATGAATAAGGATTGGCACGAACATAACGGTTTATTCTTTTTTGATATTGCTTATTGTAAATTGCACTCTATCTTTGTGGGAGATACACCAGATAGTTACAGTGCAGAAACGCTTCCTTACTTGAAAGTGCTGCAAAACTGCAGTTTATTTGTTGTAAAGACTTGACTATTCAAAGGAAGCGATAAGAGATGAGGTAGCCCCTGGGAATTTTGTGCATTGTTGGGGTGGACAGTTTGTTTTAAAAAAAAGTATTAGTGATCTTCTTCTGCAGGTCACTGCTGATAAAAGTTACATTCTGTGCCCAGTGAAAAGGTGCCTCATGAGCTGCACTTCTGGTTAATACTGCTTGTTATTGTACACCATGAACATCACATCCCTGATCTAACTGTGGGTAATAACACTCCCTGCTCTATCTCCTTCCTCCTAGGCAGGGCAGCAACAAAGAAAAAAAAAATAAAAAGATGGGGGAAAAAAAAAGGAAAAAAAGGAGGGAGGAAGTAAGCAGAGGGAAAGAGAGGGAGAGACTTTCACAAAGAGTTAAAAAGGCCTGATGAAATCCTTACAATGTACACCATATGGCTTGACATTTACCAGATTAGTTAAACATTTCTACTGGGGATAAATATTCCTGCACATCGATGTAAAGAAATTGCAGGAGACAAGGGCACATACAGCATATTTATGCCATGGAGTCATCTTTTTTTTTTTTTCTTTTTTTTTTTCCCTCCCTTCCCCTTGGCTAGCAGAATTCAGGTTACAGAGCATGTGAGGGACAAGTGTACTAACCCAAAATAAACCCCAATTCTGTGCACTCCTGAGCCGCTGGTGGAGTGGCTTCCAGCATTACCCCAAACACACCTCAAAAGCCTCCCCCCCAAAAAAAGTTTTGAATGAGCAATCCTGCTATAAAAAAATACCAAAACCCCACCTCTACGGAGAAGCTGAAGCATTAAAGTTTGTCAAAATCTATCTCAGCACTCGGATTGCCCGTGGAAGATGCCTGTGATGGCTGCCAAAGTGATTTGAGCGGGTTGATGCAGGGGAGGTGACTGCTGGTGCCCGTGTCTGGTGCAGCCTGCCCCGCTCCTTGGTGAGCAGCCCTAAAGCCATAGATTTCATCTGATCTTTGCAAAGGCTAACATTTGTCTGCTGTCATTTTAGTGAGATTGATGACAGGCTGGGATGGGGAGGAGGAGGGGGAGCGCAGCGGGAGGAAGGCTGATCCCCACATCCCCCACAGTGGGGCCAAGCCCATCCAGAGCTGCTATCCTGGACCCTCTGGTGGGCTCTGGCACTGGCAGGGAGTTCTTCCTAAACCACTCCAGCAGGAACTGCACGGGGTTGTTACAGGAGGTTGCAGGAACTGGGAGACAGGAAGGCAGCACTTTGCACCTTGTGTATCTTAATAGATTATTCGTGTCACAAGCAACACAGGGCAAAGTGTTATGACAAGCATAAGAATGTAGTTTACTGTGGCTTAATGTGGCTGGGCAGTGCAGGGTAAAGCTATCAAAAAATATTTTACTTTTTAAAAAGTTTCCAAGAGAAACTAAACAATGTGGACAATGCAGCTATTTTTATTCAAACCCCTGAATTTTGGCAAACTCTTTCCAGGCTATAGCAGAAAAGGCTTTTTCTTTTTATTAGTAGTAGTACTATCCCAGTGCCAAACTAAAAATCAGACATCTTCCTACTTGGAAGCTTTCTTTTAGGCTGATGTAATAGGGGAATCTTCTGCAAAGGACACAGATGTCCCAAGCTGGGCAGCCAGTTGCTGGCTGCAGCATGTAATGTGCCTTGGAAAAAAAATTAGCTTTCAAACTCATGGAGGATAAAGTCCCTTTTCCATGAATGAATGAGTGACTATCAATGCTGACATTCGATCTTACCTCAAAATCCTAGAGATTTGCATTTCACCAGGCACATGTATGTATACATGGAGGGATCTCAGCACTTCTGGGAAACAAATGCAGAGTGAATGGGTTACTGCCCTTGTGGAGAAACGTACCTGCAAATCTTAATCCCAATATTAGACTGGAAACCATTGAGGCAAGGGCTGGAAACAGCCCTAGATCCTCCCTGGGAGGTGAAGGGGAGACGGGTGCACGAGCCAGTAACTCTAACAAGCTGGAATTCAAAATATGCCTGACCTAAAACCTTGGGCTGGGACATGCACAGGCTTGGGGGAAAGCTCAGCTCCAGCCCCTCGTGTTGAGATTTACAGTGCCAAGACTGATGCCGTGTGGATTTTAATCTCCCTGTGTCCCATCACATCCAAATGACATCATGTGAGGACAGGATTTCAGCTGCAGGCAGGGCAAGATGTCGTGGAGGATGTGAAAACAAGGTGTCCCCTTATTCTGGCTGGTCAGAGAAGAGCAGAGTCTCCCACCTGAGTGGGAGGGCGTCTTGGGCGATCACGGGTGGCTGGGTTGATAAAGAGTGAGCCAGAGAGATAAATACCTGTACGGAGGAAAATAAGAACACATAATGGATTGGTGCAAGTCGCAGTATATTTCCTCCTGGTGATGAAGGGCTAAGAGTGAGTTATAGATCTTTCCTCGAGATAAGAACATATTTCTTTCTGAATCATTTATCTATAAGATACTGAGATATTATTTTGGTCTGCTTTGGTATTAATTTGGCTCTTTGCATTCCCACCCCGGTTTTTAGCAGGTGACAACATGGTAGGGACCCCAAAGGTTCTGTCTGCACCTCCCATGGGTGAGGTGTTGCTTTTCATGGCTGGGAGCTGGGAAGAAAGCGGGAATGTTTTTCCAGGTGTCTCAGGTGATGGCGATATGGTTATTTATGCATGACCAGGGTTTAAATCTTGCTTTGTTCAGATCCTTAATGTACAAGAAGCATTGCTGAGAGTGTTATAAGATCTGTTACTGCTCTGGGATAGAATTAACTTAAAAAAACCCGCAAACATTTACACATTCAGGTGACACGACAGGTGTGTGCAAGGGCAGGAGACCGTGTGGGGAGAAAAAAAATGCAGCGTGGTTTTGTCAGCTGGGAAAGATCAGAGCACATAGTGAGGGGAAACAGCTTTTAAAATTTCAATTATGCTGTTCACAGGGTTGTTATTGAATAGATATTTTGTACAATGTAGTAAATGGCTGTTTCTCGGCCCCCTTTCCCCGGGGCAATGCCTGCCCTCACGGAGGTGCCGCCATCTTGAGGCGAGGGTGGCAGCCCTCAGGCCAGGGGAGAATGGCCAAAACACGAGGAAAGCACAAATAAAGTGGGGCCAGATGGCGTTCGGAGCTGTGGGATGAGGGGTTTAGGGACAGGCAGGTGCCATATCCCAGCGTGAGGGCTGTCTGTGGGCAGCGCAGCTTGTGGGACGAGGGGCCTCCAGTTTTCACCTGCTGTAACGTCAGCCTTTGCTGTCTTGCTTAAACCTCTTCTTTTGAGTCTTCAGAGAAACCTTTGCTGTGGTCAGTAAATCCTAATGTTGTGCTCGCCCTGGTTTATGAGATTTCCGGGAGATTTGTCACTTGGTGGATCAGGCAGCTCTGAGGGCACAGGTCTGGGCTGACGGGGGAGGACTCCACTGTCTCCATCTCGTTAAAATGAGCTTCAGGTTCAGTACATTAACGTGTTAATAAGGGAGCCCTGTGTTCCCACACTACTGTTAAAGGCGTTCTCACACTGCTGACCTGACCCCCTTAATCCTGGCTTTCCTGGAGGAATAGCTGATCCATCAGGCCTCCAGTACCTAAAATGGGATGAAAGGGAGTGATGGGCCTATTTCAGTGCTGGTGTTTCTCAGGTACCTCAAGCAGCCTTGTTCTTTTTGTATTCATCGCTTATTTCCCTGGAAAGGAAAAAAAAAAAAAGGAAAAAAACCCTCTAGATGTGAGGGCTCAAATCACTGAAGATGAGAAGCAGCAAAAGGAAATAAAGAGGTCAAACACCTAAGTTAGCTTATGATTAAAAAGAAATTAGTGGGGCTATTTTTAATTTGTTTAAATATATTACTTTCTATTAAAGAGGTCTTTATATTTCACTAAGTATGAGATGAAGTGTGTCACCAGAGGAAGATTTTTTTTCAGTTCTAGCACCTTTTCTCTTCAAAACGTAGAAGTCTGATGCCACTGAAGCCACAAATGTGGAGAGAGCGGGAATGGCAGCAACGTGGGACTTTCCCTCTACAGTACACCGCAGTCGCCTTCCAGTTGGGCTGGTTTGTGGGAAATCAGGGAAGAGAGATGTGGACTGTGCATAACAGGTATGTTGTGGGGATGTCTGTGGCACCACACAGCCCCCAGATACTCAGCCCCAGAGTGTTGTGCAGCCTTGAGAGCCAAAACTCTGCGTCTCTGCCCTCAGACCCAGCCCAAGGTGTTGGGTCCCAGCCCAAGGCGCTGCTGGGAGCCCCCTTGGAGGCTGGAATACATCTCGTATCTGAGTTTAGCTGCCAGATCTTACATCTTTTTTTGTTAAATCTGCTAGACTTTGGATATTTTCGGGCTGCAGCTGACAGAAATTAGAAAGGATAGTTGTAAATGAAGTTTTGTAATGCCAGAAGTCTATGACGGAGCTTTTATAATCAGCGCACAAGCTGAACGTTGGTCCAAGTGTTCCAAGGCTTTCCATGAGATTGCTGGTTTTTCCATTTTCTTTTCTTTCTTTTGCTAAATGAAGTTCCTTGGGAATAAACACAGCAACTGGGTGAGACTGCAAACCTGTGAGGGAAACACACCATAAGGTTTGAATAAAAATAATAAAATGTTTAGTTAGGAATTTGTCACAAAGCTCCAAAACAAGGCAAACACTCTCAGTCTCTTGTTTTGTTCCCAGCTGGGAAGCCAGGCCAGAGTCACTGAACATTTCACCAAGTCTTGCTAACCTTCTGAGCTGAGTTGTGAGAAATTGTTCTTGACATCACATGAGCTGGGCCACAAGGCAGGACTAATGTGATATTTGCTGTCGAAGGTTTCCTAGGAAACATGCTACTTAGAGCACTCAGCCCTCCCTGCCACCCTTCCCACATCCTCCAGCTTCCCTTGCTCCCACAGGTTTTGCAGGGGGCAGGGATGTCCCCTCTGACCTCTGGACACCCTCAGCACACACCTTCCCTCTTCCCAGCTGAGCAGAGAGATCCTGGAGATCCTGAAGCTCACCCACCTAATTGCCCTTGTTGCTCTGATTTATCTCTTTTTTTTGTTTTTCCCCAGCACTCTGCAGTGGGAGAAGTGAGAGAAACTAAGCTACATCCTGCAAGACTGGAGATGGAGAGGAGGAAGTTTGAGCCTTCTCAGTGAACTTAAGCTTTTCTGCCACGGGGGAACTGGTGGAAAAGGGTTAGGAAAATCATCAGGTAACTTACAACTTAACTTGCCACATTCTCTGCCAGCACTTTGCAATGCAGTAGCTGCTATGGTATATAACTCATAAGCATTTTTCAGCAGAATGGAGTTGCCCAATTTCTTCCCATAATTTCACCTGGTAGGTGCTGTCCTTGACATGAGCCCCACAAAATGATTCCTGCTGTCCAGGCCAAACTCTTCAGCTTGGCCATTTGGAGCAGCAGGAGAGTTCCCATTGAGGATGGGATGAATGGAGTCGGTTCACACATGTTAACCAAATGCAAATCCTTAGATGGAAACTCATGGTCAGCTTTTTCCACTGCTATTTTCAGAGCTTCCACAAAAGACCGTGCTGTGATTATATGTATTCATGATATGTATATCATGTATTCAGCTCAAACAATATTTGAATGATGTATTTAGAATTCTTCCTAAAAAAGGACCATGCTTCTGTAAACTGCATCATATTTGTAAAAAGAGGGGGGGAAAATCTAGCTTGCTTTTCCTTTCTTCCTCTCTTTCTTTTTAATATATCATTTCATAAGGCTGTAAGAATTGGTGTTAATGCTGCATTACACACAGACACACTTCTACATAATGGTATGCATTTGCCTGTATTCCATACATAAACAACCCTATGGAATCCCGACTCTTCATTGTCAAGTTTGTCTCCATATTTTTCAAAGCAAAGCAGCTCTGGGTGTCAAACAGTTGCTTTCTTCACTCTTGTTCACTGGGCTTTGTGGAAGATGCAGCCAAACAAATAATGCACTGCGAGTTTTGAGGGTTGGCTGGGTTTTTTGGTTTGTTTTCAATTTTTTTGGTTTGTTTTGCCATTATTGGGTTTTTTGGGTGTTTTTGTCTCTATTTTTGATTTTGGTGGTGGTTGGTTGAATTTTTTGGTATGTTTTTATATTTTTATTTTGGATTTTATACCTGGCCATTTATAACTGCCTCTTTTCCCTCTTGTCTCCTCCACTGATAAAACACCATTTTTATGACTGTCATCAAGTGTCTTTCACATTGCCAGTATTGATTTCCCCAACCCCTGGAAGGCCCAGAACGTCACCTCCACGATGCTCCCTGAAGCCACTGGCTTGGAAAACAGGAGCACTCAGGTTGCTGCTGCCAGACACTGGTTTCCCACGTGGTGGAAAGGAGACAAGTAGCCCCAAGTCACTGGGCTGGTTCATCTCTCTCCAAAGTGCTGTTCCCCTCACCTCCCTGCCTGTCTGTGTCCTGAAGCTGTGTGGCCAACATGCCCCATGTGCCTTGTCTGAGTAATCAAAGTGCAGGGGGTGGAAAAGAAATTCCATTCTGGATCGTTTAGCTCTACCTTCAATTTCTCGTGGCATCTCAAGGGTTGGGGTGGCTCTTGGGCTGACTTTTCAGCGTGCCTTCAGGTTCAGGAGAGTGGCACCTGCTAGGCTCTGCAAAGCCAGTGGGGCCTCACCTGTAAATCTGAGCAGAATTGGGGTCTTTGTGACCAGAGAAGGAAATCAGTAACACTCTTCTCTTTCTGTTCCAGTTCAGAAAATATTCCTCCAGGTGTGAAGTCTGATGTCAGTCAGCTTCAGAGAAACAGCACCAGCTGAGCTGAGGACCTGCAAGCAAGTGTCAGGTCTGTACCAGTGTCTTAGATCAGTATTTTCTCTGCAGAGTCACTTTTTCCTTGCATGGAACCATGATTTGCAGCTCAGCCTCTGCCTGTGACACATTGTTCATAGAAGGCAGAACCTTTCTGTGTTATGCCAAGCTGCCCAACATGTGAGATACTGGTGGGCACCCAGAGCATTTGTTGTTTTCAGAGCACTCCCAGAATTTCAGTCCTTGTGGCACCACATGTGATGTGTGTCAGGGACTGTTGTTAAACCCCAGTGCCAGCTGAGGGAGGGAGGAAAGGAGAAACAAAACTACGGCTTGAGTTATTGCTGGAGACGGGACTGGAACTCGGCATTTCCTGGGCAGATTACCACCCTTCACTTCTCCCTCAGCCGGTATAATTAGCAGTGTCCTGGATCTCTCTTACTCCCATGCAAGCACACATCAGAATGCATTTTTCTTTGAAATTGTCTGTCTTGGGGTCATTTGTGTTGTGTTGATGATCTGTTGTCTGCAGTGAAATGCTCACTGGTACACTGTAAATCATGAAGAGATGCAAAGGCATCCATTTGTTACTACTGATTCAATCTCTGTGGATTTATGGAATGGGCTACCTGTAAAACTTTGGGAGCCAAGTCTCAAAAAAACCCCAATCCTTTGTGGCTCTTCAATTTTTTTGTTCTTGGCTGCTAGCCATGTGGACGGATGTCTTACATCCTTGAGATGAACCTAGTGCAGTCCTCATTGACCTAGCAAGCCATTTTTTCCCTGATGACAAGCTGGGATCACATTTTGTAATGACTGCTGCAAGATTGTCTTGTTAGGGAAAGGGCTAAGGTGGGATAGTCTTTAATGACAATGAAAGCACCTCATAAAACCTGATTCTTCGGTTTTACAGGCATGGCTGTAAGAATTTTAGCCAATGCAGACTTAGTAAATCAGTCAGTCAAAAATTATATCAGTTGAAGTATAATGTTCATGGCAGTCCAAAAACCTGAACATGTAGGTGATTTGGAGGGCATTTTGTTAACTCTTTAATTGGTCGTTTGAGTGCTGGAGGCAGTAGCTAATTGCCTGTAGGTCACAGTAGTCCTAGAGCTTAGGTAAATGTGTATTGTCATATGTCACATTTTCATATGGCTCCTTTGCACAGGTTGGTAAAAATGATTGCTGCATAATTAAAATTAAGACAAGGTGGGAAAAGTGATTCAATTAAACCCCTGAAGCCATTGCACAAATTATCTGAAGTACCAAAAACTAATGAATAGTTAAAACTAGTTTTATCTTTTTACTCTTCATTCCTGAATCCTGAGGGCATCAAAATGGCTGAAGTCTCTCTCAAAGTTCTCAGAGGTGAGTTTTTGGGTGGGCAGTGCAAGTATGAGTCAGCACAGAGGAATCCAGGCCTTTTAAAATACCAGCACACAGAAACTTTGTTACCTACTTGTTTGGAATTGAAAATAACCAGACCTTACGCACAAGAGACCTTTGGTTTCTCCACCAGCCCAGAATTATTTTGAAAACATCTGCAATATTTCACTCTGCATGCAGCAGGTATTATATACCAAGGAGGGTGATGACAGTAAAAATAAATGAGATATGTTGTAACCAAAACATCCCAAGTTTTACATCATACATTTCACAAGCCTAGCAAGCATCCTGTGCTCTGACTTGAAGGCTGTGAGGGCATGTGGTAGTTTTACAAATGTCTATTAGTATTAACAAATATGTTCCATTATTAGACAGTGTGCCACTGCCCCAACCTCCCAGTGCAAGAGGTGAGTTAATATGGCTTATAAAATATAAGAGTGCTGCAGGCACAAACTGTGGAAATCAGAGCCCTGGCTAAGCAGGAGGTCTCATTACATTTTGTGGGACAACTTACTAGAGGCCTGAACATGAGCATTAAAGCTGCCTCCCAGCTAAGGCTTTTTATGGTTCCTGTCCTTTCCCAGAGCCATACAGCTCTAGGAGGTTTAGAGCAGCAAGGTCTGCACCTTTGGATAGTGGCAGTGTGCTAATCTGACTACTTTTGAAATGAGAGGATTGAGATGGGTGTGTTTGCACTTTGCTTTTTAACAGAATTGCTGGAGCCTGAAAGTAGCAGGGCACTGAGGAGCTGTGCTCTTGTTGCTTTTTGGGTTTGTCTTCAGGTTTTTTTTCTTTTTTCTTGCATGGCTCTGCACTGGTAGCTGTAAACTCCCATTTCTTGGAAACAAGAGTGTTTCTTGGCTGGGTTTGCCAGCACTGTGTGTGTCTGCACAGAGAAGACCCAATGTGTTGAAACCATATAAAACAGTGCATCTTTCAAGGGAGTAAAAAAGTCTGGTTGCTCTTCATTAGAACAGATATGCCCTGCAAGGTTCCTAAAATATGCCCTGGTAGGGACTGTCTGCAGCCATCCAAGTGGAGGTGTCTGTAGACATTTCCCCTAGAGGGATGGTGTGGATGCACAGGTGAGGAACACAGTGCCTTTTTGTGCTTCCACCTCTTTGGAAGTGATTCTCACCCTGCATTTGAAACAGTTAAAAACCCTCTTCTGATGCTTATTCAAACTTAATCAGAACCCTTAAATAGGAACTAATTTACTGTCACAGGTAGCATGTTCATCTCAGTACTAGCTTTATCAAACCAAAAAAAAATTCCCTGCTGAGGACCAGAGTGATTCAGGGAATAGTAGGTTATGAAAACATGATGATGTCAACTCACTAGATGAGTCTTTCATTTTAATGGGTAAAGCTTCTGTAGGTAGAAAAAATAAACCTTCCTAAAGATCTCTGTGGATCAAAACCTCAAGCGATGAGGAGAGCAAAGAAAAAGGAGAAAACTGAAGCACAGGAGGTGTTCAAATTGTGTGAGCTCTCTGCTTTCCCATGCTTCCTGGTGGAAAAGCAAACAGCCAGACATCGTCAGGAGTGTCCTAAAAAGTCAGAATGTGAGTGGGCAAGTTGCAGTCTCCCCCCAAAAAACATTTTTTCAGTCTTTTTTGATGTGTGTTCAGCCTAGACTGCTGGTAGTCAGAGATGAAATTTCCACTGCCTGTGATTCAAGAAAAACACTGCTTATGTCATTAAACAGAGTGTTTTTCTGTAGCCTTTTCTGTATGGTCTTGGCTTGAGACCACCCAAACTCCAGGTGAAGTAGTGCTTGGGGCAAGTCGAGCTTTTCCTTCCCCTCCAAGGCATAAGCATCGAGGCTGCAGCTGATTTCATAAATGCAGACTGATATTTTTAGGAGGCTACCAACAAAAAACAGGTTATGGGATAGGCTGTTGTGGATTGCACCAAGAGAGTGCTGAAATTCCTGCCCTGCTTATAGGAATGTGGAAATGACCCAAGAGTGTTTGGGATGCCTTTGTGAATTTCATGTATAGTATAGCATTATGTTTGTAGAGATGTATATGGCAATACCATGCAGGGCTAATATGAGGCATAAAAGTTGTTAAAAGGCATTATGTGACACATTCACAATTTTTCCTCTGGGTACAGAGAGTGAGTCAAGGTCATGGCACCAAATTCATCTTTCAAAAGTGTCTCATTTCATTGACTATGGAAGTCTTGGACCACTGCCCTGTATTTACTATAAAAATACATATTTTAAGCTATTAAAAAAACCAATAGTATTTTTATCTGTTAATATAGATCTTTTCAAAGAAAAAATGCAAGCTTTTGCCACCAGCCAGGTCCATTCCCATGTCATACCCTACAAATAACAAGTGTATTAAAAAAGTTTAAAACTTGGATTGAGGAATGCAGCCAGGGTTGCTGGTTCAGGAGCCAGGAGCACAACCCTTGCCTGCTGGGCTTTGTGGAGAAGACCTACACTATCAAAGCTCTGGGAGGCAAAGGAATGCATTAGGGCTTTGAAGAAATTCTTTTAAAAGCCTGTGGTATTACAAATACGGTGAGAAAGGATTTCCACAGACTTTCTGGAAATGCCCTGTGAGTCACTGGTGGGTTTCCCTGGGAACTGAAGGAGGCAGCAGGAAGCTGGTAATGGCCTATTAAATTCAATAGGACGTGCTTTGGTGCTGGGTGGTGGGACCATGGCACTAGTGAGCAGGAGGATGTGCACATTGTGCTTCCTTTGGGGGGCATTTTCCATGCTTTTAATACATGAGACAAACTTAAACCTCATTTCCAGTGAGTCTGGGATCCCACCATCCTCGTGTTATCTCAGGGAGGACACCCCTTGCTCACAATAATTCCATGTGCAAGGACCAAAAAAACTGCTTGAGGCAAGAGTTCTTGGGTCAGCCCAAAAAAGGGCAGGGATATGGAGATTCCTTTGGCAGTGGGGAAGGCAAGGTCTGCTCTGCCATGGGTGGAGCTATAACAGTGAGAACATCACTCAGCTCACAACCTTTCCAAGAGGATAATGTTCTTTGTGTGTTCCCACCTTCTCCTGGCTCATACATAAATGGCAGCAAGGCTGACAAAACCCTGCTGGGTGCCCAGAAAGGGACAAGGTTAAAAATGGCCGGGGTGCAAAGAAGGACTAGACATGAATAGAACTGGATTGATTGCCTTAGACAACTTTATGGCTTTGTTTTCCTTCCTAAAGTCTTTTGGTGTTTTTTTTTTTTTTTTAGTAAAATAAATCACAGCTCATGAGATAGCACTATGCAAATATGTCAGAGTATTTTTGGTGGCTCGCAATTAGCCTTGATAACCCAAAAGATGGAGGCTGGCATATGCCATGGGTGGAGTCAGGGGTATTGTGCATCTTTTTGTCTGTGGACGTGTGACAGATTTCTTCAGTCAGATGCAGGCCAGGCTGAATTTAGCCACCTTGGTCTGGATATTATCCATGTGGCTAAAATTGCCAGATCATTTACCCTGGAAATTATTGCAGTGGTGCACTGCCAAATGCACAGTTGTATTGTTCCTTTGCTTCATGCTGCTGGGTGTTAAATGTACCTCTGAGCCTTAAGCAAGTCTTGATTGAGTGTTTTTTGTTTACAAGAAATTATAGATGGGGAGAGGAATCTTTCAGGATCTACCAAAACCTTTGTCATTT